GTAAGAATCAACAATCTGTGTGTACGTAAACGCTAGTGTTAGCGCCAGTATTGTCACGTAAAACTGAAATTTCTGGAAAACCTCAACACGCCTATAAATATAACTGACGCACGAAAAGAAGAGTATCTATTATTAGTTCACTATAGTCAGTGTGCTTCAGATTTTGGAAGCTATAACTGTGATTGTTATAACGCTTATCAATCGGAAAATTTCAGATATTCGACCAGGAGCATTTACAAAGTTCGAACATTACAACTCATTTAACTTCTGTGGATTTTCATCGGACATTAGTATTTTTACGAAAACATTACATAACGTCACCGTGGAAAACTCAGTGTGTGTGGCTGATAAATAACGAAGGACAAGGCTAGCTAGCTTGCCGTTAAGCAAATCATACCTACTTCAACCCGCAATTAACTCGCTAATCGTGAACCCTCGATAAGATATCGAAGAAGTTCCAGATTAAAAGGAAGACTTTATATTGCTTGTAAGTTTGTGAAACTTTTGTTTATAAATCATTGTTTGTAATAACTATTTGTAAGAACTGTTATTGTAAATTGTATTGTTGTGTATATATTAAAACGTATTTGTATAAAAGAAAACTGTGTGTATCAATCATGTTGGTAAATATCATAAACTGACTATGTATCGGCTTTTACTTAACTACTAAATCCAAAGTACAAATTAACTACTAAATTTAAATTTATCAGTTAACTCAATTTCAGACCATTTGAAATTCTAATAGGTAACAATCTCCATCTAAAAGCCACATGTAAATAAGTTGCTTTCATGAAATATCCGTAAGCCATTTCATAACTTAAGCAGCTGGTGATTTAAAGAAGTATCAATTCTATTGCATAAAAAACAGTATTGTCGCTGGTAAAAAATTGTTATATGTAAAAAAAGTTATTTCAATATTTTAAGAAATCTACTATACAACCGCTATAAAATATTACAATCTACTTAAATTTTTTGACACACATAGAGCATTATCTGTTTTCAATGCCCCCCAGTGGCACAGCGGTATGTCTGCAGACTTACAACGCTAGAAACCGGGTTTCGATACCCGTGGTGGGCAGAGCACAGACAGCCCTTTGTGTAGCTTTGTGCTTAACTACAAACAAACAAACAAACTGTCATCGACGGGCGAGAATGTGCCGCCATCTGTGTGTAAATTCTAAACCTAATGTAACAAACATATAATATTTGACATATTTAAAAAGAACTTCACCATAACATTTCTATAATATTTGTTTGTTTCTTGTTAAACACAAAACTACACAATGTGTTATCTGTACTGTGTTCACCGCAGGTATCTAAAATCGAATTTTAGTGCTATAAGCTCCTAGAGTAACTGTTGAGTCGTCGGGGGAAGGAGCGGGGGACAACGAAATAAACTGGTCTGAATAATAGAACACATAATATTTTTTAAGAGAGAATACTACAATGCAGTAGCTGTATGTGGAAAATGGCGAAGATGCGATTTCGAGTAATATTTTCTAAATTTCCAGTATAAACAAAACATTGATATCAATTGTGAAATATTTTACGTCTTCCTGGTAAGTAAACATTAATAAGTAGAAAATTTATGAATGTTCATTATATTTATATAGCACAAACTGCCAGCATTAAACAAGTTGTCAAAAAGAAAAATAAGTTTTAGAAAATTAGTTTGATAGAGTATAGACCGAAAACTTTATTTTGCTTGGCAACAATAAACCACAACAATTCCTTGAAACTTACTTGTGTAAAATTACAACAA